AAGTTACTACTCATAAGAAGCAAGGGATGGAAATTTTGATCCTTACATAATTCTCATTTGCAGCATGTTATTTTACTCATTTTGCCTAAAACTGTATTATGCAAAATAACTCAAATGAGGTGCAATATTGCATGGCAAGCAGGTTAATAACTTAAAGCTAATGTTATTTTTCAAGTGTAAATAACCAGTAAAAAGAAAGCAAGGGAGAAAAAAGCACATGCTGCTGTGCTCTATTGACAGACTGATAAAATCAGATAGATCAGATAAAAATTCACATTACCAGTGAGATCCTCCTGCTAATGTTCTGCTGTCATTGTCATTTATTACTAGAAATATCAGTTCTTTTTGATCCAAGCAAAGTGACTCCAAGAAACATGGGTCTATCAAAACACAACATATAAATGTGCTTGGCGGTCTCGATTAGTGTTTATGCTATTTTGCAGGGCAACGCATCACTCAATTGTATTCTTTTTCGTAAAAATAAATAAATAAATTAATAAAATGCACTTGAAAAAGACTGAAGGTTGCTTTTTATTTGTAAAACTGTATTTTCACTTCCTATTGGCATTTGAGTAAAGTGGTTTATTGTTGTTATTGAGGTAAATATTAAGGATTAATTCTCACTTGCAAWTGTACAATTTGTATTGGAAAATAATTAAGTCCTTGAAACGCTGTTYGTTGGAATGACTTTCTATAATAAATTGCTTGCAAATAGCACTGGAGAAAATTCTGAGGACTTTRGAGTCGAATCTACTAACTCYAATTCACTAAATACATTTCTTTTTACAATTCTCTTGTTGTCTTTGCAAGTGCAGCATTACTGACCAAAKATACAATCGATGTATGTTCTACATTTTTACTTACCACCGCAAAGTTTAACAAGCTGACAAACRCTAGKGCTTACAAATGCAATCCGAGAATCCGTGAACTCATTTTGTTCAAAATATCTGAAATGAAAAAGTCAACACTTTTTTCTCAAACCCAATCGTCGTTACTTTAGATTAATAAGCTTATGTGAATCTAGAGGAGACGATTCTATTAACATTAAGTAGGAAAATGATACTTACTCCATCATAAAGMTTAAAATATTATCGTTGAGCCAGTGCCCTTCATTAAGGAGTTGTATATCAGATTCCCGTAGTAAGCTATTATGAAAACTCAAAACAACTTTGTCCGACACTTTGYCCGCCATTTGGCTTTTAAACTTCCCTCGCCGCGCATGTCTAATCGGCTTACTACCGCTGCCCGGCGTGTTTTTTAAGCCATGGACAATCGCCTGAAACAGTGAACTTTTTCAACAGCTTTCGTGAATGGGATTTTATAATTTAGTGATAATTTTATCCGAAATGAAAGCATAGTCCAGTCACAATAAGTATAATTATCCACACTGAGTTAAATCGCATAGTTTTCATCAGAAAGGTAAGATCCAATATGGCTGCCAATTCGCTTCGCACAATTTCACGTTTATCGATGAAAAAAATCCCTTTTTGTAGATATATGAGATRTATACCAGCATGAAAGCTAGCGCACTTGTTGATGTAACTTCCAAAAGGAAATATTTGAGTGATAAATTCCGTTTGACATTTTTATTTTGACAATGAATTTATTTAGGAGGGATTCGGATGGTGTTCGTTAATCACGACGCGTTTCCGATTTTGTACCGAGTGTGACGTCAGAAAACAGGAGAAAGCAACATAAATCAGAGATGATGAAGTTGTGATGGCGAAAATTCACTGTCATTCCCTACTTTCTGGGAGTTCATGGTCTTCTTTCGATGGAGAATCATCCGAGGAAGAATCGGAAGGTATTTATAATAATATTCGGTGCGATCCAATACGTCAAACCTCCTTATTCTAATGTATTTACGCCAGTTGAATGACCAACACTGAATTATTTTTCCTCGCTTAGCCATGGAAGTGGACGAAAACAATAGTTTGGGTCTCAGTGAAGCCACGCGTCTGAGTTGTGAAGGTAAAGGCAGTTAGTAGCTGAATTTGGTCGATAATGCATGRTCAATTTGTGAATGCATGYTATAATCGGTTAAAAAGTTTATCACATTGACGGTTATCATTGACCCAACACTTACAATAACACGAGAGCATGTTCCCTAACCTAGCTGATACCCCTTTCTCACCGGAGGTACATTCCCATACTACTTATTTGATTGTAACATTTTTTTACTCAAGATTACTATATCAATAGACGCTTTTCGTCTTCAAGTGATGATAATATTACACATGCACGTGAAAAAGTCACTTTAAATCTATCACACTCAGATATGAATTTGTATGGATTGTGTCCTGCTCAAGAAGATGTGTGCCTTGTCATCTGTAAAGATTGCAACAAAGTCGTTAAATTATCCGCGTTTACTAGACACTGTGGTAAGTGTGATAGTTGTTTTTTGTATATAGAAGTGAAAATTCACTTTATCTTTAATTAAGGTAAGATGTAATACACATGAATTTGCATGTAGTGTGTAAAAATGTTCCCCTATCAGACTCCTGGAGTACACTATAATATCATTTGAAGTAGCAAAAACACTTTTTGAATGTTACTAAATTGACAATTKATACATAATTTACWCAAAAATTGGCCATCGTTATTGATTCAATTCTAAAGTATTTGCTTATAAATTGTTTGTTTTGATCTGATTGTATATTAATTTTTTTTTTCAATAGTCATGAACAAAAGCACCAGAGCAATTATAATGATATTAACACTATTGTTGTATTTGTGATAAAACATTTAGTTCAAGATTCAATGTAATTTGTCAATAAAACAAATTACAATGAAAGTCACCTTGACCAATTCTTCATCACATGATCAATAAGTCTTTTAGTTTGTTATGTGCATCAGGAATGCCAAACCACAATTTCATCAGGATGTGAATCCCCAGAACCTTTGGATTTACATGAAAATGTTAAAAAGTATGTGAAAKAACTTACTGACGTTTCGGACGTTAATCCTTCGTCGGAGTAAAACTTTACTCCGACGAAGGATTAATGTCCGAAACGTCAGTAAGTTATTTCACATAATTTTTTATGGTGTTAAATTTATCTTTTTAYATAACTGTTTCTTTAGAAACACTGAAGCAGCTCACACTAGTTTTCCGCTAGTTCCCACCATTTTACATGAAAATGTTTGATACCTTCCTTAGAATACTGAAAGTTTTTTTCTCTTTTTCTAAGATAATGAATATTATTATCTATTCGAACATGCGAGAGYGTTCAATTGAAATTTGAATTTGGTTATCAAATATTCTTCATTCTGGAAATGATGTCGAACAGTAATGGTAATTTGTTTATAGCTCAAAATACACTTGGCAGCATTCTTTTGCCAAACTTTGTTATTGACGATTTGCTAACAGATTTGGAACCATGTATACCTACGCCCGCAAGTAACAATGACAAATCTGGAGAAGAGAAAAAAAAAAGAAAAATTACAATAGTTTTTTTACAATAGAATAGGCAAAAGAGCAGAGGCTATATATCCCAGTCACTCATATATAGCCCAGTGAATTTATAATGAGCTATTCAATTCAATTCAACCCCACATTTTCCTACTGAATATCAAACCCCTCCCCTATTTGGAAATTGTGCAAAAATCCTTAAGCTCTTTTTGTAGCAGCTGATTGAAATTGCCTCTCAAATAAAGGGATTTCATGGTCTTGATGTACGACAGGTCCCTCAGGAATGTCTATGATATATTTCTTACAAAACAAACAAATCATTTAAATAATCTATGAGTAACATGACAAGCAGATTACTTTATAGCGKTATAATTTTGTACAACAGTGGCATATGCAGCGATTCCAAGGGTTCTGGAACMACCTTTCCTTTCYAGAGAAATCCTCTGAAATATAAGAYAATWCATTGTCAGATAGTCCAACATTTTGACTGAATGAATGAATTTGAAAAAAATGAAATATAGTTATTCTTAAGCACATTACATGTACGTGCATTATTAAAGACATGTTTGTGACATACAACAGACTGGCTCCCATAATCCAAAGGTCATGTATTAGTGGTTAAAAACAATCATTGAAATCAATGATTTATGGTAGTGTGCGGTATTGTACATTTTTTACTTTTAAATAAGGTGTCAATCTGCATAATAGATTAATGAGCAGATTTTGTATTGTCTAAAAATACTGTACTGTAACTTCTTCTTGAGTCAGTCATTTTCATCTGGTATTATAACCATGCAGGCAAAGTTCCATGACCACGGTTGGTCTCTTCCATGGTATTGCACAGTGATACAAAAGTCACTTCTCAATATTGTGATTCATTAATGCCAACTGGTAACTATTGAGAGCTAGTTACTGGTACTTACTGTTGATAGACTTTTCTTATATGGAATTGATAAATATTATCTACTAATATTTTGTATAAATTCACAAAAAATAGCATCATTCATTGGATGTTATTGTGTACCTAACATCATTGTGATGATATCCTTTAATTTATGTTAACTTTTGTTGTTTTGTAGACTTGCTTCACAAGAAACCGATACCTCCACCAACTCCTTCACCCGATGTTAGTAGTCCAGCGCCAGTTGAGCTTGTTATTGATCAGTCATCAAATATCAAGATTGAGCAACTACAAATTGAAGATAGCACAGTGAAGATTGAAGAAGTACCATTAACTGTACCAAAAGTGAATCATGTTGTACCTAAAGTACTCCCAAACTCAACAAAAAAGTCTAGTGGAAGTAATAAAAAGTCGCCAAGAAAGGTTATTCCTACCCGAGGTGAGTTGACATGCRTTWTGTGTTGYATAAAGGTCTGGGTAATCAGTTATTGGGCATATTCAATACAGTCATTCTGGAATTATATGGAAAAGATCAAAATTATGTTGCATAACATCACCAAACATTACTGAGATTACTGAGATGTTTTTACTTTTGTACAAAAATGCCAGTTCCTGTCTCTTTTTATAGATTAATATAATTGTAAGCATTAGTGAAACATGAATGAACTAATATTTCGTTCTCCATATTATATCAATCATCTTGTAACAAATTGGGTGCATAARTACAGGAAATTATTATGTTAATTGTGATGATGAGCATTAACTTYCTTGCTTTAGAGAGAGAATTTGATGCAGACAAACACTGTGGGGTTTGGGTACAGGAACAACAGAAACGATGCACAAGGTCTCTTACTTGCAAGGTAGGATATTGCACAATCTGTCAATCATTCAATGGATATGGTATATTCGACATGTAATCATTGGAAAATAAGCTTCAAAATGCAGAACAGTGATAATGCATATTAAACTTCAAATGAGCATGTGCATTGTGCCACAACTGAAAGAATACTCCATTTTCCAATTCAAAGCGAATAACTGCTGCTTTATTTGACATCAGATTCTCTGTCTTTGCATTAGAGAATCTGATGTCAAATAAAATATTTGAATTCGAAAATGGAGTATTTTGATCCCACATGGAAGAACGGCTAGTCCGTACAGTATGCTAAAGTGCATGTCTGCATATTGATTCAAACTGATTTAAAATCTAGCAAAGGTCTATGATACGACACTAGAACTGGGGTTGCGGTTGCGATAAAGCGCTGATGAACTTGAACATCAGTTATTTATATCTGATAAATACTGATTAATAAAATATCAGTGCTTTATCAGGATATAAAGGCCCATCATGTGAACCAATGTGACTAATTGCTCGAATAAATTATTAATGAGTTATAGAATTATATTTCTACAGTAATGCCCAATATTTTCCTAAACCCTAGCCTGAAAGATATACAAAAAATTACTCAAATTCTATAAAGTACAAGAGAATGAATAAGTTTGAGAAATTTAAGACCGCTGGTTTGAAAATTCAAACCTGCACTTTTTAATAGATTTCAAACCAAGGAGCATTTCAAACCACAATATGGTCAATGGCTGTTTAATGAGTTGTTTGGGTTTATAAATAATTGTTGAATAATTATGTACATTGACAGACCCATGCTTTGTCATTGAGAAGAGCTGTCCCTGGCCGTAGAAAAAAGTTTGATGAACTTCTAGCAGAACATAAAGCAAGAGTAAACAATGAAAAGGAACAACAACAACAAAACCTTGCAGCTATGAAACTACTTGAAGCAAAGTCTACAAATAATGTATTTAAAAAGGTGAAAACTGAACCAATGGCTAAACCTGCAAATGACAAGTGAGTATTATGTTTGTTATTAAGAAGCTCTAGTGAATAAACTTAATTACAATATATCATTATCACATTCAGATGTCAGTATTCTAATAGTTTTCATTATATGAAATTGAATTATTTTAATATAATTGTGCTTTCAGGCTTCAAAATAACACACATGTTACCTCTTCTAAAGGTGAGTTCAGCAGTTTACATTCATTTTTTTACAGTTGCTATCTTGAATTGTAGTCACACAAGGCTGAGCTAGATAGACATTTTCCTCTCTTCAGCAATCACACTACCCTTTAGTCTTGTTTGCTTTGCTATCAGAGATAATAGTGGGATGTCAAAATAATTGTGAATAGTGCAGAAAATTGTGTAAAATATATTATTTTCCATTAACTTGATAATTATGGTGCAATTTTCTGCAAAAAAAATATGATCCTACTAATAATCCTACTATTTTCACAGATCTCTGTTGTGTAAATTATACAAAATCTTTTTTTATGAATAATTTTCAGAGGAAACAACTGAAACTTCAAGCAAAGAAGCAGAGAATGAGGAAGTAGATGACAGTCATTTGTTAAGTGAGCTGTCAACCGTGAATCATCACCCAAAACCTCTGGCGGTAGGTTGAAGCAGAATCTTGTTATATTTTATGATCATTATAGTTTTACAAAATGAGCAAAATGAGTTTAAGACTGAAGGAAAATATTCTGTCTTAATTGAGGGAGTACCAGAAAGGTACATGTATTGATACATACTGTATTTACCCATGTATAAGCCGCACTTTTTTTCMAAAAAAAATCGTTCCCAAATCGAGGGTGCAGCTTATCTACGAGAAGACTTTGTAAAATGCCCAATAAAAACTAATTTGCATAAATTAGCATTCACGGTGCTACTGACTGCAGACAGGACATYAGTAATGTGATAAGTTTGTTTTACACAGCGGGAACAGAAATTTTAATCCAGACTTCCCAGTATTACTAAAATTCTCTGAAAATCTAGCTCTGAGAAACACAAGTCAATAAATCAAACTGAAAAGTGCGTGGTTATTGAGCTAATGAACAGASAGCATTTTCAATCGTTTTGTCTTGGAGTAATGTTTTGGTAACGCAATGCTAATTTCTATTGTTCATTTAAGCTACTTTGTCACACTTAAAATGAAGAACCCAGSGTAAAAAATATTTTGAATACCCAAGAAATAAGCCTCAGAAATTGTTCCTTATATTAAACAAATACAATCTGTTTTAATATTTTTTTTKAAATACGARACAGTTTCGGTGTGATCCTTATGTTTAGAAGTTTGGTGGCACGATGAGATTTATATCACTCAAGTTAATTACCAGTTTGCTTTTACCTTTTGATTGAAAAACAACTCTTTAAATATAGTATCAATTATCAATCTTAACAATTATGTCTCCAAGATCATCATACACCACACGTTAAATTGCATAAGAAATGCATGGATCACTGAAATTGAGCAGCGGAACAACACTTAAAATCAAAGAAKCTCTGTTCGCAACATAGTGACAATCGAAAAGAGAGAAGTTTATTTTCMTTCTTTTTTTCTTCAAAAACATTCCTAAAACTCGGGGTGCGGCTTATCTACGAGAGCGGCTAATACATGGGTAAATATGGTAATCATGGATAGATTGATAAATGGTTTACTCATACAAATGAAACGCTAAAAATTTCAATTTTTGTTTTTTTGTTTTGTCTTTTAAAGCTAAAACTATACATAGCTTTAGCTTTAAAAGACAAAAGTATGCTTTTTGGATTAAATAGTGTATATTCTTTTGTTGCTTTTATATTTAAATTCCTAAAACTAATTAATAATTTTGACTGGCCAAAACTCTTGTATGTCTGGTGAAAAAGATCTTTTACACAACATTGTCTGATAATGATGTGTTTCCTTTAGTCATGTTCATTTGGTGGTAGAAAAGTTGGCCATGGTGCTTTAGTATTCAATAGAAGACAGGATCATCTTAGATGTGCAATGCTGGCCATGGTGGAGAGATATCTCAACCCACAAAGGTACAGAGAACTACATACTGTGMTACAAACTGGTTCACTGTCTACAAGTCAATTAACTCAAAATGACTTATGTCTCGATACTTGGACCTGGCTACACAGTCAGTCAAAGTCAACTGAAGTGAACTAGAGGAATAGCAGTTCTATCTGTTTTAGATTGTAAAATAAATAATTATATACTTTTTGAGGCTGGTACATTTTGTGAGATTTGGCTACATACAGTTTCATAGCATTTTCCACTGTGTACTCTGGGTTCACTAGTCATTGGCATGCTGTGTAATCTTGTGCATATGGCTGCCTCCTATGTGATGAACATCATATATCTGCCGAGAAGGATATCTTTGGAATGCTTTTTGAAATTCTGTAGCTTAACTGTAACTCTGATTAACAACATAATGGTATATGATGTCTGCTTGGTTTTCAGGAAAGCTTCATCAGGACGACCAGGAGCTGCTGCTATTTTACATAGACCTGCAATCAAAACCATTGGACAATCCAGTAATCATAGTCTTGCAAAAGGTACTTGTGACTATGTTATGAATTATGGACCAAGTTCTTTTCCATCATTTCATGGTGTCCACTTTATTTTTTACTGTTGTACAAACAAGACAAAATGTTTTTTGCTATAATGTACTCTGACTAATAATTACTAAGAGATACATGTTAGAATGGTAGTGCCTACTACCTAATATGGAGGTCCGATAGAGAATACTAACGGACAGTATAGTTATAATCATGACATATGGTCTTTTATAGGCTCATTGATTATTGGAGACAAGAACAAGAGTCATTCAACTACACATAGAAACCTATCAAACTTTCTTAAGGCACCGCCTCCACCCCGAAATAGATCTGTCAAACACAATAACGTCTTACATGGAACTAAACATTCTTTGGAAAATTCTTATCAAACTGTGTTACATAGTAAACCATTGATTGAAGCATCTGAAGGATTTGATGCAAGTAGTCAAGCTATCAGTGACATGGGTAACATTATTGCTAGTATTGACTCATCAAGTAGAACTACTATAGAAAATGACACACGGACTATCTATACTAGTGTTACTAATACACAGAGTGATATTGTACATGGTCAAACTACTATGGTAGCTAAAATGAATGGTACAGCCAGCAGTACTTCAACTAATACTGTGGTCCAGGTAAGTAACATGCTAGCAACTGGAAATGTAAAGCAAGTTACAGGTCATAAAGTAATCTGGGATTGCTATATATGAAATAAACCATGGCAGCAGTAACCACTGAACTACTGAAATACTGCATGCATGTCATCTTTGTAAGCATGAAAACATAAAAATTCCACATAAAAACAAAATGAATGAATAATATATCTTTTTTGTTATATATGTTTGTTATATATGTTTGTTATATATTGTGTTTTGTATTGCTAGATTGCAGGTCAACTGGATCCTTCTACAGGTATCAGTCAATCAATCATTCAACCAATCMATGATTATAGAATCAATCTATCCATGTACTCTATCAATCATTCAATCTATCAATCAATCAGTCAAAATAATCAATATTCAGTCACACAATACAGATAGTCAGCCATTCATTCATTTAACCAAACAATTTTAATTAAAATTAATCCTTTAAATCTTTTTTAGGAAAAGTTACACCTACTACAACAGGACAACGAGAGAGTCCATTGTTCTTCACTACCCAGGTACATGCAGTGTATATAATTTTTTGTACAATTTTATTCTTAACAAKCAGCAAGAACCATTGATTAKTGTGTTGTGATAAGGTTAGGGTTTTATGGACATGCTCTTTTTACTTTTCAATACAATATTGTCTTTTACTATCTACATGTCGCAATGTTTAATTTGTTTAATGTACGGCTATGATGATGATGATTATGTTATAATCTCTCTATACCAAGAAGCTGTTTAATCACAGTTGTTCTGAGAAGTCTAGCATTTTTACTCATTTTCTATTCTGACAATAACTTTGGGGTGATTACTCAGAGACTCAAGATAATTGATTTTCAGTCCTTTTTTAATTTTTAGAATCCTCAAGCGTCRCCATTACCTAATGGCACAGGACCCTCCCCWCCTCCAATTGCTTCAACAAGTGTTAAAGGCTATCCTGCACTCAGTTTTGTTATTCAAGGATCAAAACCTGCTAACCCTTCTCCTGTGAACTTTTCTAAAGGACATAGTCTAGTGTTTAATAGTATGGGCATGGCACAAATGCAACAGCCTACTTCACCTCTACAACAACAGCAACAGCAACAGCTGCAACAAAAAGGTATGGGATCATTGATTTGTCCATTATAAGGATACCTTTCCTCTATTCATGATAAATTTCATTCATAGACTTACAGTATACATCCTTTGTGTTTAAAGGTAAAGTTCTTTTACGGGCCAACTCTTATCCAAAAACCAGTGGTAAAGCAAATAATTCTCAGGTTAAAATTCCTCAATCACCATCGCCACAGCAACAGCTGTCACCAGGACAACCAAAGACAATAATTGTGACAAGTCCCCCACCGGGACAGCAAAACCTGTATTTGAATCACATGAATAATGCACCAATTGTACAGCTAAAGCAACAAGTTGAACAACAACAACAGCAGCTGCAACAGATTACTCTGCAAAAGCAGTTACATCAACAACAACTTCAACAACAGCAGCTACAACAGAAACAATTGAACTCGCAATTTGCTAAACAACTACCAATACAACCTCGTCTAGCACCTGCACCACATCCTCCATCACAGTCRCTTCTTACTCAACAACAGCTGGCAGGTCAAAGTATTGTTATCAAAGCCACAGATCAACAGATGAAGAGTCCTCAGAACACTGTCTTTGTGACTGCAGATTCTCATCAAACTATGGTCAAGCCACAGTCTAATGTTGCTTAAAGATATCAATAGTAGAATATTTTATCCTATATTTTCAGAAAATCCATTTGACAAAACAATTGATTATTAATATTAATATAAATACTTTGAAATGGCTGTCCATGTCATGTCAATGAAATGCAATTAATTCTTACTAGTAAAATAATATGATAACATCCTTGTTCTAAACTGTAATTATTGCTTTTTGGAGATAATGGTACTTTGTTTTGTTGATATTCATACTGTACAATGCCATTATTGTCCAGAGAATTATGTTGGTAAAGATTTCAGCTGTTGTTGGTGCTTCATTTTCGTTGCTGTCATTGGTATTTTTGTTTCAGTGGTTGTTATTGCTGTCAATACTGATTTTGTTGTGGATTATGTTGGTGCTTGGCTAATTGATGTTCTTGTTGTTATAGGTCTTTTTGTTATTATATGTTTTTGTCACTTATTGTCAATAGTTTTTAATATATTTATGAACAAGGATGCATATTTATTGTTAGCTGTGTTGGCCCTTCCACTTAAAGAAAATGGTTTATTATATATTACAATAATGTGCCTTTGATTTAAATATTTCCTTAGATAGTAATATAAAATAAATGTGACATTATCTTCAATGACCTTGCTTATCAGCTTGAGTCCACTTCAGACAGGTTAGCTTATTATTATTACTATGTACTTCAGAACATGTCAATGCCTTGAATCATTGTACTGGTCCCATTGCAATACCTCTCAACATATCAAGAGGCTGCATTGCAAGATTCAAATCAAAAGGCAGACCAGTCCATAAATTGGGTTTTTAAACTCAAACTTTTTCCAAGTCATTCATCAATCAATGTATGAGGTAAAATATACATCACAATCCTTGAACCTCATCTCGTTGACTTATTAATAATGAATATTGCATAAATATTTTCATTCAGTCCTTTGGATCTGTCTTACATCCCTTCCATACTTTGACAGTACATTATACAAGCCCTGTAATGTTTAACTTTCTTTAGGTTACCATTGAATATTAACTCTAAACAAAACACACTTTATATAATAGATATTTTCATATTAGAGTTAGATTCTTTGGTTTATTACTGTCTGTTTATGAATGAGGTTCTTCTATGACTTATCCGTGGATAGATCTTGTTTTTTTATTTTATACAGTGTTACGTGAATTCAACAATTATTGGTCCTGTACTGCGGTACTCTAGCAAAGTCTGTCTGTGGGAAAACTCACAATTTTTACATGACATGGCATGTAGTGTTGGTTATATTGCACTAAAACCATGAATAGAATTGCAGCACAGATAAGTCATGGTTTAAGTGCATGTAATCCAGGTTTTGCAATTGATATTTTCTATGGAATTGTGTATAAAGTATTTCATAGATACCTACTAATATAATAATACTGGTTTGTATCATACTTTTGTAAATAATTTATTTATGAGTACAGAATATAAACAACAAGCATTACTATAGTGTGCAAATTCTTTTAGTCTAGAAGTGGGCTGTCGAATTGTTCTGAGGTTTGTGGGAATGAAAGGGTATATAAATTAAGGTTAGGGCTAAATTAACTTTTTCTGCTCAGAGGAGGGCTACAGCCCCTCCCAGTTCAGAAGTGTTAGATCTTGCTGGGATCCTCGGATTTGTACTACAACTGATGCTCTGCTAGCTGAGCTACAAGGTCAGACTGGGAGCAGTTSGGGGTGAAATAGATGCTAAGTTGTGGAATTTAGAATGTAAAGATATGAATATGGGGACCGCATGGCATTACGAGATACATGATGTAGATTAATAAAGGAAAGTTATAGTGATTAGAATGAGGTTATTCCAGGAGAAAGACCCTTGAAATTAAGAAAATCTATTTCACTCCGACCTGCTCCCAGTCTCAAACCGACCACCCAAACTTGGGTGGGGGTGTGCCGCKGGGACATCAAAACCCTGATCCTGTTCCAGAGTGAAACCGCTGAAAACTATACCCTGCTCCAGAGTAAAATTGCTTAAAACGATATCCTGTTCCAGAGAAAATCCAGCACTAGCCTGCTTGTAGACCAAATTTTTACCCCATGAATTTTTACCCAGCATCACACTGGTTGGCGGCACATCCCCGTATAGCGAATATAGGCGAGTACTACCCCCCCCCCCCCCCCCAACCCACGGGATGCTGTAGCTCATCTGTAGAGCATCGGTAGTACAAATTTGAGGGTTGTGGGTTCAAATCCCAGGGAGGTCGAAAAATTAATTTTTCCAAATTTATTTCCAARGGTCTTTCTCCCTCCTAACCTCCTTTCTATGAAATGAAGGAAGGTGTGAGAGAATTGGGTTAGGGAGTGAAGGGAAGAGTAGCCTCCCAAATTTAAGCATTTGGACTTATGAACTGTACCMCATTCTTGCCTTCAGTCTGCGTAGGTTCTCGTTTGATTAGGCATTCGCATAGTGAATCTTTGAATGACCAGACAAATATACAAAAGTCAAGATTACAGGAAAGTGAGTGAGCGATTGAGTGAGGGTATGACAAATTGACWATTTGTACAACATATATACACCCTTTTGATAAGTCCCGAGGTATTGTGTTCTCCGCACTTGACGTCAAATTTATTCTTTTTGAATTCCTTTTGTAATTCCTTTTGACTTATATACAGCTAAACCTKTCGGGATCCCTGTGTTCTGTGACGGTAGCGTGACCAAACGTATGGCGTGACATCTCTAACATGATTGTCACATGAGGCAGATGTAAATAATGGTGGTGTAGAAGTCCAAGATGTCGTCTGAAGTTCTGTTTAAAGTGTTGATTATTGGAGATGCTCTGGTTGGTAAAACCTCCTTTGTACAAAAATACGTACATGGTAACCCTAGAAGAGAATACAAGCCAACTATTGGAGGTAATTCAATACGATTTACACCCTTTTAGTACCGGAGTGTTTCCAAATTGATCGACAACTATTGAAAACTTTCGTTGCAACTTATAATTATGCAATGTAAAACAATATGAAAGAGAAAATTCATTCAGCAATGTGCCAGGTTTAATATCGTATCAACTGAAATTAAATCGAGCTTTTATTGTACACTGATCACTACTTCAAAAGGGATCAGTTGATTACAATGGCATTGTGATCGAGATACTTAAATTTGTAAAAGTGATCATGCTCATTTATCTAGTCTCCTTTGCATCCGTTTTCGCGTCGGGCTTCCTGTCCCCCCTCAAACATTTATTCTTTTTAATTATATGTTCTTTATTCTATTAGACTTTTATTCCGAGACTTTTATTCAAGTTTTGATATAGCCAATTTTTCATGTTGGACACTGGCATTGTATAGATGGGACTCCTAAAAATGGAAATATGGAGTTTTATAAAATTTCAGGCACAGGACTATAAATATATGTCTTTAAAAAATGGTGGAACGTCCCCGTAAATACAGAGTAACCACACAATAGGATCTGATCTAAATCAGCACCAGGGCAGGTTAAAAATGATTGATATTTTTGTAAAAAGAGTCATATACCTACATGTCAAGCAAAACTACCACTTTTCAAAGAAGAATCAATATATAACCAAGGTGGTCCTGGGTAWGGAGGCTAASRTCAAAGTATCAAAATTTATCTTGGCTGGAAAATTAATTCACAACATATTATAAAGGCGAGCCTTTTTAATGTTATTTTGATATGATATATTTCAGTGGATTTTGCTTTGAAAGTTATACGATGGTCAGATGATATGACAGTTCGGCTGCAGGTAAAAATATTGCTATTAGTATGGATCATTTGCTGATGTACAGTTTAATGTTTAGGTTTTTGATGGGTTATATTTTTCTTTGCATGTTCTCAACCAAGCTGTGGGACATTGCAGGTATGAATTTGGTGTATCAAAATATGTCTGTTCTAGGAAACTAGCTACAACAAAGTAACTGAAAAAACAAAAAATAGCGATGAATTTGAGCCAGTGAATCAACCATTATTTAATAGTCAATCAAGTTAATAATTAGAACTAGAGACTAGAGAGCGAAGATATATAGCATTTTTTTGTTGTTGCTTAGGGGCCCGGTCGTAATTTATATGGGGGGAGGAGTGGGGGATTTTTTTTGCACAAAATGAAACTTTCTCTCTGGCTCTCATCATACAAACTAGATGTGGCTTGCAGTCAGCCATAAAAGCACATGGTTTTTTCAACAAATCACCTGACTGATCACATGACATCTTTCCTTTTGAACAAAGAAGTTATAGCCTATACAAGCATAACTGCATTAAACAAAATTAGCAATAACCTGAGATATGAATGTAAGAATGCATATATGTTCATTAAATAAGAACAAAGCTTATCAGTAATTCAACAAATCAAAGTTATTTCAGCTCAAGTGTGCAAGCTATGGGATAGCAGACAAGTTTGTATGAGTGATAAAAGGAGTATATGATGGTTTATCTAGTGACAAATTGTAGTGAAACTTCACAATCATTCAAGATCAACACAGGTGTTAAGCAGGGATATGTGTCATGTCTGGGAAAGTGTCTATTCGAAGGACAATGGGATTATGATGGAACTTTATAACTGTTCTAGAAGACCTGAACTTTGCAGACGATTTATCAAGATTCAAAGACCTTAGCAGGAAAACAGAGCATAGTTAATAGAGGAAGCTCAAAGAGTTGGGCGAAAGTTAAATGCAAAAAAGTGTAAAACATTGAGAACAAAATTTGCAAAAAGCAATGAGAAAGTATTACTGAAAAAAGAAGAGGTTGAAGATGTTGAAGAGTTTAAGTATCTAGGGGATACGTGGACAAAGAAGGAGGAGGGAACAGAGACATTGCATGCAGAAAGGTCATGGTACATTTAGGAGACTTAAAAGAATTTGGACAGTAAGAGGAATTGGAAGGAGGACCAAATTAAAGCTTTGTAATTCATTTGTTCAACCTATTTTACTATATGGTTGTGAAGCTTGGAAAATCAATAAAGAAGATGAAAAGAAGTTGAATACTTTTCAAAGCAAATGTTTATATATATATTGAGGATTAGATAGTGAGAGAAGAACAAAAATTGGAAAGAAGGAAAGGCAGAAGTAGAAAAGTTCATTAATGAAATTAGACGCAGAATATGGGAATGGATCGGACAAAAGGGAAAGTAAAAATGACTGTTTGATAGCTCTAGAATGGACACCGAAAGGAAAAAGATCAAGGGTAAGACCAAAGACTACTTGGAGAWGAACAGTACTGAAAGAAAGGGACAACGCAGGATGGAAGACTTGGAATGAAGCCAAAATGGAAGCAATATAGATAGAGATGGCTGGAAAGATGGGGTGAAGGCCTCATTGCCCTTATGCGCCGAGGAGCTATGATGATGTGTAACAGCAGAGTTACTAACTCTGGTAACAGGTAGTCTTGTAGGTATTGCGGTGGTTTTTCAATTCGTCTGCTCCTGGTTGTGGYTGCTGGTTGTTGATCAGGTGGTTTTGTTTTAAAGTGGTACGGTGTATTAACTATATTCTCTGTAGTTGTTGGTGTTATTGTACTGTTGTCTTTAGGTCCTGGTTCGCGATGTTYATCTGGTAGACCAGGTAGAATATGAACATGCGGTAGAGGACGACTGGAGCGTCCTCAAGGACACTTTGCAGCAGTCCATCGTTAAGAATTTCCCTACCAAGCTAGTCAGTGGTAAGGATAAGCTCCCATGGATGAYTTCCCACCTTCGCCGCCTAGCTCGCCGTAAAAATAAACTACATACAAAGTTTAAGAGGACGTGGAAGATTRCGTGCTTTATGGAAGAAAGCTAGAAAGGTCCTCTGCATTACGAGTTGCGCGCAACCAATACATCAATAGCGCTATATTAAATGCAACTCCAAACCCTTTTGGAAAATTTATAAGATCTCAAAGGAAAGATAGMCARGCTATGCCGCCTTTGAAAACTCCATATGGCTGACTGGCCGAATCTAACAACCGAATCTAACAATAAAGCTGAAAACCTGAAACCAACAATTTCAACGTAATTTCTCAAGCGCGACACCACCGCTATCCCGTTCTCCCTTCCTCGTKTCTCAAAAATGCCTGAAATCACTGTTACCGTGAAGGGGTGCGGAAACTCCTCTTGGGCCTCAAGATTACACAATCAGCTAGCCTGTGTTCTCTCCCCGATTTTTTTTGGAGGGGTGAGAAGCGGATGTACACAGGCTAAAAATAAGTAGGGCCCGACGGTCTCCACCCTCATGTCTTGAAAGGYCTGGGGCCAGTGCTCTTTAACCTCTTCATTAAGGACATAGAGGACGGCAAAACTTCAAAGATACGTCTGTTCGCCGACGACTGCATATGCTATCGGAAAATCCAATCTCGAGACGACTGCGATAAACTGCAAGAACGCGATATTTYGAACCTTGCATTGGCTCCTGGGCCAAGAAGTGGTCCATGAAATTTGAGCCAACGAAATGTATGATATTAAGATTATCACGGAAGACGCGCCACAATATCACCCACTTGTACCATCTTGGTGGTACAGCACTTGATTACTGTCATGAGGTGAAATACGTTGGTGTCAATAATACCAGTGACCTGAGGTGGAACCGCCGCGGATGACAAACAGGTTCTTGGTCTGCTGCGGTGAATCTTATCAACGTGCAAAAGGGAAGTTAAAGAAGCAGCATACAACGGGTTGGTCCGCTCCTTATTGATGGTTTTCAACCATTCCCATGAGAGTGATCAAAACAAAAAGGTCCACCAGTCACGGTGGTGGTTTTCTTTTGTCAGGTCCACCAGCAATGGCGGACATCTTTTGTTTAACTTTCTCTCCTGGGAATGGTTGAAAACCATCAATTGGAATACGCGARCCCCGTGTGGGACCCATACTGTCTCCCTATGTCAGGAGATATGTAACATGCCCGTTTTCGCATATTGTCATTGAGCATTTTACCAACCCTCCAAAACAAGACCCAGCATTGATGAAGGGGGACTAGGGGGAAAACTGTGAAAAAAATAAAGGAGAAAAATGTTAGGATGGAGACAAAAAATTCTTTGTTTTTTGTTTTTTGGCTTTTTCCTTGATCTTTTGACGGAGAGAAATAGGCACAACACTTCTGTTTCCTTTACTCCAGCTTGCACAGCTAGTTCATCGCAAAAGGTAAAAGATGGTCTAATTTCAATCGAAATGGATGATTTGTCACAAAGCCAACCTTGTGAAATTGTGTTCTTGAGTGTTTGTAGGGTGTGGTCTTTTGCTGTCTCTGTTCTGATTTCCATGAATTGTGGTTCAGACATGGAAAAAATATAATCGAAGGCATGAATGCTTTCAACTTAATCCATTTCGGCTTCTGATCAAGATAGTTCCTTAATATCAGCGTTAACGTACGCTCTTGAAAGTGTGTGCTAAATACATTTCCGAGCCTGGTTGATACCTAATGTCAACATCATAGTTTTGTAAACGAAGTAGTAAGAGTTGTTATCTCTTTCGAGCTGAAGACAGAGGTTTAGTCTTGGAAATGTTTACCAATGGTTTATGGTCTGTATACAATGTCACTTTACGACCGTAAACATATTGATGGTTACTTCGAGTCCAAACAATTGTGCTAAAAGCAATTTTTGAATAGTTCTGTTCTGTAGTGGTGAGAGCACGGCTAGCATAATTATGGTCCTCCTGTGTGAGTACAAAATGTGTTCATCCGAGCGAGTGTGGGATTGGCCGCTCCATCAGACCAATAAACCAACAAATCCACTAACCTTCCAGTCATCAAACCAATCACAAGAAGTCCACTTTGACATCCGGCAAACTGARTTAGCCAAATTGATCAAGACCTAAGATATGTAAACGCTCAAAAATTCAATGTGTTAGTATAAGTTTAGAAATGAATACAGAGTTCCGAGGTCAACATAAGATTAACAGATATATTTGCTTTGTGTTATTGTTGAACGTTCAAATGCTAAATAATGAGTGGTTTGCTTTCTTTTTCTGAAGGTCAGGAGAGATTTACATCAATGACACGAGTCTACTACAAAGGCGCAGCAGCATGTGTCATAATGTTTGACTTAACAAGTCCACATACATTCTACAGTACTATAAGATGGAAACAAGACTTGGATAGTAAATGTACACTGCCTGGAGGCAGGACTATACCATGTATATTAGCAGGCAATAAGGTAAGTATTGGTGGCATGATATTATGTTATTAGATGTACAATGTTGTATATTATGTTATTTGTTGCATGCAGATAGAGTGGTTTTCATTAACCCGTGAAATACACTTTAACGTATTACACTTTATTACACTTTGACTATTRCGCTTTGTTTCACGGGTTAATGAGAACCACTCTATTGTTTTATTAGGTATGCAATGTTGCATGATGTTGTTTTATTAGCTGTATAATGTTGCATTATGTTTTTTTATTTCTGATAGAGTGACTTGACTTCACGACCTGTTCCCAAAGAGACCATTGACAAAATCTGTAAAGAGCATTCATTTCTTGGTTGGACAGAAATGTCAGTAAAAGACGACTCAAATGTGTCAGAAAGCATGGAGTAAGTGATTTCTACTCCCTCATGATGGACCATATTGCATTTAAACCCAAAATTAATCTCATTGTCACGCTAATGTATTTCGATTAAATTGAAGCTTTTTGTTCGGTTGCCGGAGGGATGGTTTGTTGTTGCTAATTGGTGGCTGATTTAATAGTTATTAGTTTGTATCATTTGTTTTGTTGGTATAGTTTGTTGTTTGCAACTGGGTGGCTGATTTTATTATTATTTGTTTGTGTCATTTGTTTTGTTGGTATAGTTTGTGGTTGGATAATGGGCTGGTCGATGTACTTGCTGGCTCCTTGGTTTTCTCGTTCGCTAATTTTGTTGAGTTCTGACTGTAGTATCAGGGTATTGATGGCATTAGACTCTACTGTGCAGAACAATCTTGCCTCAAACCCTTAACGAAGGCTAACGAAGTGAAGTTTTCATTACGAGAATTTAATTAGTGAGATGAACACTTGGTTATGTACATTTGCTAGAATATATAAATGAGACCTCGATATCAATATAAAACATTCATTCTTTATGAATCTCAATCAGAGCCAAACTTACAAAGGCGCCGTCAGATTAAGACATGCTCACTCCAGGTGTATTTTCATCCCTACCATACTGGTTGGTGATTTCTCTGGTTTTGGGTTTAAATCATAATCTCCATGTTTTTAATAGGTATTTAATCAAAGAACTTGTTCAGAACCATCTAGCGGAGCTCGACCAAACGGACGGGGACGGCGATGGAAGCGTTGATAGAGGTGGATTCATTCAGTTGACAAACCCCAAAGCTCAAACCGAAAGACGATTATGCTGTTGACACTAGTTAGAATATATACAATTATTAGCTCTAAAGCTATATATTCTCATTATATTATAATTATTGAAGCAGAATAATCAATAGAAAATCTGTTTTTCTTGTCGATAGTTAGCAAAAGAAACAATGCGTTCGATTTTTTCATTAGTTTCGCTATTCTTTTTATACTCTGTAGAAGTGCTGTCATATTTTACAGCTACAGGCCCGTAGGCTGCCTAGGGGTTCGTTTTTTCATAATGCGGACTAAATTAACTCAATGCACAGCATAGTGTGTAAGAAATGGCAGCTACTATGAGCAGTTCATACAAATGTCAAAAATAATKAATAACAAAAGAATTTTAAAATAGAACGATAGAAAAAGAGAAACACCGGACCGAAACCMCCAGCCTACAGGTCTGATTTATATAAGTCACTGTCTTTTAACCAGAACAATCCTGAGGGACAAACCGATGATCATGGAGAATAATTTCTTTCCATATACGTTATGTACATTTAATGTCATCGTTATGATGCATATTTCGGTGAACTATTTCACACGCTTATTATACTGACATTCATCTGTAATGTGTTATTTGGATAACTTCCAGAGAGTTTACTGGTACAGTTTACGCTAGTTGTATCGACGCAACACTCGCATACACTAAACGGTCTGTTTTTTTTTTTCTTGATATATAGGTTTTTTAAAAACAAATACTTTTTTGCTTTTCGTTGTAAAGGGGTGTAAATTATAGGTATTTTATAATTGCAGAATTTATTGTCATGTTGTGTTCTTATTATTAAGAACACCTGTAGCTCTTTTCGCACTATTTCTCCATTTTRCTAATGCATGTCTTGTCCAGTGATCACAATATCAATTCATATACAATCTTCAAAGTATCATTACTGCATTGGTGTTAAAGAAATCAATAATTTCCAGGGTATGAGCCTGAAGAATGTAAGGACATTATTTAGTTGGTCACACTAWCATATCTCTCCTTGTTTTAAGTATCGACTGTACAAACGTGTTTACATGTTAGCTAAAATGCATAAAAGTCAGATTTCAAGCCAAAAGAAAATCAACTCTGAATACCGAAAAGAACTTAGGGACTTATTTCTATGATTGTTTACATTTTCTTTTATGACAACGTCCTCTTATTGCAAAGGTGTATCTAAGGACGCTTTCCATCAGTCAGAAGTGGCTGGTCAGTCGAAAAGACAATACAGACAGAAAAAAAAATTATACATTACTATTATGGACAATTGAAAAAAAATTACTGAAAAATACCGTCAAAAGCCGTTATATACTACTATATAAGTGTTATGGTAAAGTGGTTTTCCGTCAACCATGAAAAGAAATAGACCAACTACTTTAGTACCAATAAGTAATAGACTAGTCAATATAACTTTTAGACATATAAACTATAAACGAATAGCTAACAAACAACAGACTAGTTTGAATAAATTAAGCGTTACTTTAGTTTAATTAGTTACCATAACAAAACTGACCATTAAAATTTAAAATAAAAAACTTGTTTTTGTGATGAATATGTTTATACCTATCAATCGGATACAAGACTAGACTATTGATCCTTTTCAACCATTCCCATGAGATTCAAAAGATTACAAAAAGATAAAAGGCCGGCGGCCATGTTGGAGGAATGAACAATAGATACTAATGAGAAATATTTTGTTAAAGTTCCTCCAAGATGGCCGCTTTGACGTATCGTGAAAACGAAGAATTAGTATTGGTCTATTACAAACTACTACTAACTATTAGACTTATTGTGTTTTCATGCCCGGTTGACGGAAAACTACTTCATGGCCGGCCATTTCTGTATAAACATGAACACTACTACAACCGATAGTTTGGAAAGTATCATTTATTGAAATAATGTGCAATTGATTAATATTGCTTTCTATCACAATGAGTAGCACTAAATTATGATATTTCCAAAATATCACTTTACAGCTGAATATAACAATAGTAATGAATTAATTTAAAGCAATGGATTGATAAGTATAGTTTACATCATGATCACGACACGGGATGTGGAGATTGGGTTTACAACTAATTTTTCGTTAACTTAGAAAATTCAAATGTAAAAATTTGCTTTGGTCTCAGAGTATAATCTTTAGAAAACGATGACGAAGAAGAAGAATGAAGGTAAGAGAACGAGAAGAATGAGAAGCAAAGGAGAATGAGGAAGAGGAAGAAAGTAACTGAAGAAGAGTCAAGATTCTGCATTTTTATCTTTTTTAGTATGTTCAACTTATTGATTATGTGAGCACTTTATGATTGCTTTTAAAATATCGTATCGTAATTCTACGCATATCATAACCATCTCATTAGCCTTGCATCCACAATGTAATGATACTAAGACAACCGATACCTAGCAACAATCCTTTCTCCACCTTACCACCATTACTCTTAATACCCTTTGGCGAAGGTTTCTCCTCTCTAGTTGATGGCTTTTCTGTAGTTGACTCAACTGATTGATTGTCTGCAGTTGAAATCTTTCCTGTATTCGATGGCTTTCCTGTAGTTGACGGCTTTTTTGTAGTTGACGGCTTTTCTGTAGTTGACTGAACTGGAAATGTTGGAGGCTTCAAAGAAATCACTAGGGACCTGGGCTGACTGCAGGTTTTGTCAGAACAGGATTCTAATGACTTGAGCCACACATTGGTTCCATCAACTTGCACTGGGATTGAGCTGTTCGCAATGGCTAAGGCAAACTCTGTAATGGTGTCATTGAAATTAACTGGAGGATTGGAGGTTTGCACTATTCCTAACGCTTTCTTGTCGGCCAAAACAACAAAAAGACTCGCCGAGGTGCTTCCTGGGTAAGCCATCCAGTCCATGATTGCTGAATTCCATCTCAAGGATTTGGAAATAAATGTGACAACCTGGTCAGCAAACCTATTATTCATGTCTGATTCTGGAAGAGAAGTTTTGTGTGGTCGACTTTTCACTTTTTCAATTCCCATCTTCATCATCCTGATGATGGTATTGTTTTGTGGTGTAAACCAGTCTCGAGTACACTTCGATCCACATCTGTCTTGGATGTTCCACAAACTCTTAAACGATTCCCATGCAGTATCAAGTCTCCCAAAGTATCCGGCTTTTATAGCATAAAAGATCTTATAGAACTCTACACAACTCAAATCGCACACTGAAGGTATGTTGGCATCGGGATTGATATAGCACTTGGTGTGCGACTGAAGTGCTTCTCTACGTATTTCCAGGCAAGATGGCGAGCGCCATGGACGAAGTAATGGCACCAGAGTAACTTGTAGACACTTGCGAACTGCGTGGATCCAGCGCTGTGCTTTTGACGAAAACCAGAGTTTATTTCTATCATACATTTTGCAGAAACGTTCGGAGTACCTAATGGCGTATCCATTTGTGGTGTCCTGACAGGATTTCTTCTTTTCCAGGCAATCGCGGTACCAGTTGCATGACTCACCAGACGGGCTGAGGCAAGCTGATGATTGGATGTTTTGGTGTGGTTTGCGGTCTCCAGGTCGGCAAGAACACTGACTGTTCACAGTTCCAGACGATTTTTCAAAACTCTCCAGCATGCACTGGTAATAGCAGTAAGTACGACTGCGGCTAATACACTGATGTCGGTGACCACTTTTCACCTTAATGTACATATCCGTTAGACAGGTGGCCCACTGATACTGATTATAGTACTGGGGAGCTGCAATGCATACTACGCCGCCCGGCGGTCCAAAGTATGGGTGGCAAACTGACAGAACACCACTCGCCATGCACAACAGGCACAATAACAACGGCAACATTTCTGAAATTAAGGGAATAATTAACGGTGTTTTTCTCAAAATGGATTTTCAGGATGCTTTTCAGCATGATTGAACATTAGTGTTAATGTTTAGGCAGTGTGTGTGTGTCGGGGGGGGGGGGGGGGGGGGGGGGGGGTGAAAGGGTTCCTGGTATATCGATATATCTGTTCTTCTCATCTCCCCACTCAGATTAATTAAGTAACAAGTGGTTGCCTCAAAGTTATAATACATTTAGGAATAACAACTGTTCTCAGGAAATAAAAAAATTCCTAAATAAAAGCACATTTCTGAGAAGCCAAAGAAACTAAGCTCCTCAAACTTGTGTCGCAAAAAAATAATTAAAAAATAAAACTAAAATAAAATAAATAAATAAATAAATAAAAAACAACAAACTCATTCGATGTTAACGTGCCAACCATGATCAGAATATGGCTTTTCACAAGTTGCTTTTTTCTAACAACCGATCGTCTTCTGGTTGGGTTAGGGTTTGAGTTAGGGTTAAGGCTTACGTCACATTGAGTATCGCTATACTTTCTTTTGTCTGCGAATTCTGTTTCTCAGTTCTGTCAGATGAAGCTACGATGACCACGTTCCAGTTACTATGAGTTATTTTATTGTTTTTACTTGATTTAGTTTTAGTTAACTACTAAATGCGCATTAGCGAACGGACTTTTAACACTACCGGTAGTTTGGCTATTTTTACCGACGACGGAAAATCACTCTCTATGACGAAATAAAGTGATGACGTTAAAATGATCGAACTGTCCAAAAAAATGCCATTTCACGGGCCGCTGATTTTTCTAAATATAAGATACGTCGAAGACAAGCTTTTGTTTCAGAAAGCCGTCAGGGAATTGAAGAACAACAAACGGTGCTTCATGTATTCAAAATTATGAAAACTGAAAACCTTAGTGGAGATGCAATAAATCAATATATTTCTGTTATATGTATTTCCTTCGCTTTTTACCCCTCCCAAATAATTAATGAGTATGGGAAGTCGTTCAAAGTCCTCCAATTCGGACTGGACGGGATTTCAAGTCCTCATTGTSGGACTTTAAACATTACTTCTTACATTTTGTAATTTATGTTTTAATCTTTTTTTTTTTTATTGGATTAAACTTGAAGCTTAAAAAAACTTGAACTGCCATCACACAATAATGAAAAATAAAAATCACCACGTGAGAAGGGACCATAAGAATGCAATTCAGTTTATGAGAATGAGAAATCACACCACAAGAATGCGGAAGTGACTGTGTGAAATAAAAATAGAATCACTATGGTGTCACTTGAGTCACTTGTTGACGTTTGCCGGGCCGTAGTTTTTTTTAACACCGGATGAAATAAACCTCTCCATAACCTCATCTATTTGCCAATGATTTGACTCTTGGAACCGTTTTCTTTTCAGTTGGCATAGGTGTCAGTTTTAAGTTCTAAAAGATGCTACTTTGATTTCGAGGGATAATGAGACCATGAACTGTTCAAATGCTTAAAAAAGGCTCGACACTCACGACCGCTAATCGAATATTTTCATACACATTTCATTAGAGAAATTTGCTTTTATGTATTGAATTAGGGATTTAGTGAAACTTTTCAATTGATTGATTTTGCTTTTATTGTTGTTATTAATATGTCGATATAGTATAGTTTCTGATTTAACATCGTCAGCTTTTCTTCTTTGGCTTGTCATATCATGACAGCAAGTGATTATTTGAAAAAAAAGGTTATAAGACTGAAAAGAATTCCAGAAATCATAAGAATTTACAAAAAGAAGAATTATTCTATCGATATCAAGCAGTTTGCTGTGGTTTGATATGGAGAAGCGTCAAGGTAGTTGAAAACAGCTACATATTAATGACGCAGTCTCAACACCCTGAAAAGACTATGGTTGATTTCAATGTAAAATTTATTTTCAGTCGATGGAATCCGGGAAACTCGTGAAACACGACGTTATCTTTAGTAGTAACTATTTATTTTTGTATTTACTTATTTACTGACAGAATTTATACAGGCCGTCCAAATCAGCGAGTGCTGGTTAAAATGGAGGCCAGTTTTACAAGTAATTAAACAATAGAGCATTGGAACATTACTGTAAAGGAATATAAAAAACATRTCTAAGGGCATTTAAGTATTCTTTCAGCCGTCTTAAAAGTCGCAATCGATGCGATTTTGCTGATGTTTGAGAGAAGTGAGTTCAACTCTTTTGCATTGTTCAGTGCTCACCTGAGGTAAGTTTCAAAGTATGCCAAATAACTTCATTTTGATATTTGTGGTAAATTAGACATTTCTGTTGGTACCGGAATCTACGGGTTTTTTCATATTTCGGGGTATTGTTTAGATTGTATTGTTTGATCATTTGTCCCTATTGAATAAAGTAATCTGTGTTCTATAACTCTGGTACCCATCCCGTCCCATAAACTTTGAAGTCAAAAGAACAAGGAACACAGCATGTATCTTACCTCAATTAACGCGTGGAATAAGTTCCTTTCCTCTTTTGTGGATTAACGCGAGTGAAGGTTTTCGGAAACTTAGAGGAAAAATATAGCGCTGCCAAACGATGGTAATGGGAGGAGCTTGATTCGGTCCTCGACCACACGTATGAGGAAGTCTTATACGAACTATTTATATATTTTTAGTGCATTCGACGTAAAATCACTTTATCAATAATTCATACAAAACCTATGAACCTGCATAATGGATTTTTTTTGAAGTAATAGTAATATTTTTAAAAAAATATATAAAATGTAAAGTCAATATGAAATATAGTCAACTGGAAAAATTCATGAGCTGCGATATTTGCGTCAGATAGAGCATCTTTGCGTAAAAAAATAGACAAAATTTACAAGTTTTCGCAAGACTCAAAACATCAAATCTATACTTTGTACGCGACCGTTTCCGAAAGGTCTCGAAGCCTATACGAAAAAAAAAATCCGACAGGGAGTGATGGACACTATGCCGGGTACACACATCGATCCATCACGTGATTAGTGTTTAATACCCTGTCACGGACTTGTTTGTATCCAGCGAGGCACGGGATCGTAATACCACAGGTAACCCGCATTTCTATACGAGCGCGCGTCGATCAATAAAAGCGTGCGCAGCTCGTTCTTTTCTCTCTTAAAAAATAGTTTAATACTCTAATACTTTCTACCAGTCATTCCAGACGATATTATACAAGAAATCATTGCTTTACATCAAAGCAAAGCGTCCGGTCTGCACTGTACAAACTGTCAGGGGTAAAAATAACTAATCAATTTAGTCACAACTATTTGAATCGGGTTGAAACAACTAAAAATAAATGGCCAATAAAGTAACCTTTTTTAAAAAGTTTAAATAACCGTTTAATTTTATTAGAATAAGTAATTAATTAAGTTATAACTAATAAAATGAGTCAATTTAACAAATAACAAGTCTTTGAAACGTAACTAATTTTATAATAGACGAAATAACCTTTTTTAAATGATTGTTTGAACCATGACTAGTTTTTCGAAGTCATAACAAGTTTTCTTGTCTTTTTTTCTTATCGCTCTCGCCTCGAATAGCCCCAGACTAACTGCTATGGCCGATTTACTAGTAAATCTTTAGAATCATCGTCATCCTAATAAAATTGTTGTTGTTGTTGAGGACATTGAAGCAAGGGATCAAGCAAACTCTTTTAAGCCTTTAATTTCTTAGAGCGGATTTCGTATGAGTGGGAAACGGACGGTACTGTTCTGTGTCCGTAATCGTACTGTAACCAAATTCTAGTGCCCCATTGTTTCACCAAAATTCTGCAGGCCAGGTGCGGTAACTGTGCGGTAACCGTGCGGTAACGGTGTCCCACTCATAGGAAATCCGCTCTAGTCTTTTTGAGATTTTTATTCACTACCTGTTTTTACTTATATACTATATATCAATTTGCTTTTTAAAATTCTTAGTGGAGTATCATACCAAGGAGACTGTGCACGAGAGATGGAAAAATTCCACGAACTAGCGGAAGTCATGGACAATAAACGTCTATGGGGGAGTGGGAGGGGAGGACGAATGAGGATATGAGAAATGATTATACTGTGTAGTGCTTATAATTGGACAAAAGTAAGTACAAAATGACAATTGAAATTGGAGCGCAACGACATCTTCAAAATTGAATGAAAGTCCACCATAGTACACGAGTTACCCGCTTCTCCCAAACTCTAACCCCCCAGCCCACCCCCGTATAGTAAAATACTTGGTATTGTTTAGCACTCTCAAGGTGTTGTCAGTTTATAGTTTGAAACTGTGAGATATTGCACCACAAAAGTCAACGAATCAAACTTTTTGACCATTTGAGAAATTTGATCAGGTAAGGGATTTTCTAAATGTAAATTTATTTTCGCGAGAAAAATCTAGAAAAATGATGAATGTCTAGCATTCAGATTGTCAAGGACATGAACGAAGAAGGTTACTTTTTGTTTCAAAACAAATAAGTTTATCTTAAGAAAGTCAGTTTTCGGAAAGCACCTTTCACGATAAAGTTAACTTTACTACCTTAATTAAAAGATCTTGAGTCCCTTATATCATCCTGTGGTAGAACCATTCATCAAACTAATGTCGCGTATTAACCCTTGTCGTTACGGAAAGATGTGGACACAAGCACATTTACTGGTCCCATTGCTGAAGGAAGCCTTCCAGTAAAAAATAGAATTCAAGAATACAATATATCGGGACGAATTCTTTTAGAGTTAGAGATGCTCCGACTCACGAGAGCCAAGAGACTTATGCAAAGCTAAATTTACAGAGATTTTCTAGGGCCTTAATTTAATCGAAAAACTACTGATATTTTCCAGGGGTTAAACAAATTAGTAGCAATAAACTATATTCAAGGGTTTTCCTTCATATTAATTGCTTTGTTTAAGCTGATACTCGTCAATGTTCGTTCAACATCATTGAGTTTCGACACTGTGTAGACCAGAGGAGTCATATTTTTGCGCAGATGTAGATGTGGTTTGTGACTGTTCTTTTCAAGCAGCCTGTTTTGTAATACAATTAATATTCTTAATGGACTGATAATATCGTAGATAATGATTTCCCACCGCGGCCCGGTTTCCTTGCAAAGTCGGCTAATTTTGTTATCCGATCTAGACAATGGCGAGTTCCAGCAGAGTATGTACGTTGTCGAAATTAACTTCTAAATAAATTGCTGAAAAAGTGGAAAAGTAAGGACTGCTGCTTAACAATTATATCAACGGATAGTTGTACATTGCTAGGAGAGAATGTCATGTTTTCTGTGATCTAGCATTTGTCAAGAACGTTACGGTTACTCTTTTAAGAAGAAATTAAAATTAACGGCGATCAAAATTTCTCTTTTTTTAACTCTTTTTCACATATGTAAATAGATGAGGTGTCCAAATTTCCATCGAAACCTAAAATTATTTCCCTGTTAATGAATTCATATTCGACTGTCTTCGACAGATCGGAACAAGTTTCGGTTGACTGATTGACTGTATTCTTGCACTTTCTACATAATTATAAGCTAGCTACAAAAGCAATTATTATATATCAAGTGTCAAAGTTCACTCTTCCTACTCTTCCTAGTATCTTATTGGTCGAGAGTGTACCACGTGAGAGTCACTAGCCCGAGTAGCTAGCAAGCGTTTCTTCTGTCAGTACTGGGAATGGGGATAGCTATATTTTGTGTTTCCTGTGACTCCAATATTGCTGCGTGTGCCTAATGGAGACTTGTGTGCATGTGTGTCCTCCCCCAGTAATAAAAGTACATTCCCTGAGTAATTTTTTAAATCATGAATGCATAAGAAAAACGAGAACTTTGTAAGCATAAATTTCCAGCTTGATAATTTAGACCTCAAAGTACCGTGCGTTAAGTATAGTTTGAAACACGATCTTTAGTGTTTTAAACGGGTTAAAAAACTCCAACACTAATTTGAAACCCAAATCCATAAAATTCTTGGAGAAATTGCCGTAAAAATAAGTTTTGAGATAAATGGGGCAAACTATTCATGCGCGAATCGCTTTACAAAGCATTATTGTCATTCAACATTGAATACGCATAAAGTAAAATAGAAATGCTGCTGCCTCTTTCACCTAATTCGATTAACATCCTGCTTTGGTCAATGATCAGGTATCAAACTTGAGAGTATTCTTTATGAGTGTTTTATCAGATATAAAGGTCCATGCATGTGACCAAATAGTCTCATTCTATTGGCCTAATAACTCATTAATTATGCATGAGTTTTTGAAGTACATGGAACACACTAGTATTCGGTTACAATGTCACCTTTTGCTTGTCCAAATTTTTCAGATTTGAAAACTGAATACATTTTCCGTAGACTGTTAGTAGCTATAATGCCAACTATATAGAGATTAAAAATCCAGTTGTTACTGGTGAGCGAGATGTCGCAAAATGTTCTGCTCGTGTTAGTCCGCATGCTCGGTACATGTCTCTATGGATTACATCATGAATTTATCCAAGTTTTTGAGGGAAACAAGGAGCATTCCCATTCCGATGGATTTTTGTCCTTTTATTCGTCCCCAAATCAATACAAAATCGTGAGATGTTATGCATTACAACACGACATAGAAAGTGGTCGCCATTCCTGAAGGTGTATGCGACTTCTCTCAATTTAAGTGCTCTAAATGACGACTGAGCGTCACGAGCGTACGATGTCCAGAATAAATACATTCCGGACTATTAAATCAGAAGTAGATTCGACACAAAAATTAAACTTAAACTTTACGTCGAGTTTCAACTTGAACACAAGTGCATTACAGTTAGAGTCTAAATGTCTTGTTGGGTATGAATAGAGTATAAATATCTGTCTTGTTTTAAAATCAGTCGCATAATCATCAAAAATTAATCAATTTACGGTAAAAATAAAATAACAAAAAACACGATGTATAAGACATTTTGGCTTATAGGATCATAATATAACCAGTATAATATTCAGAGTGCCTCCTTGCCATTTCTGATTAGCCATCGCTGTAGTCCTGATCATGAAGGCCCATGTTGATTCTCACAAAACGCTATTTGATGATGTACATGCACATACACATTCCAATCAAACGTTTAATCATCATATTCTGTACCCGTTTATGGTTTCAGAGATGCTGTTGTATTGTATATTGTTAGTATGTATGGTGGAAGGAGTTCAGTCAGGCTGTGATCCTAACTATGGACCAGCAGGCACTACTGAGTGTGTTAGCTTTAAACTGTACTATAATCAATATCAATGGGCTACCTGTCTCACTAACAAATACATCCAGCAAAAGAGTAACCACAAGCATATTTGTATCAACCGATATGCCACTTACTGCTACTATCAGTGCATGATTGAAGTGCACAACAAAGAATCTGGTACTGTAAGTAAGGACTGCGCTTGTACGCCAGGTCAACCAACTGGTTCCCCATCAGCAACTCCAACAACGCTGCCACCACAGTGCTTTAGTCCGTCTGGTGCGACATGCGAGTGGTATCGTAATTGTCTGGAAAAGAAGTATCCTTGTGAGGACACGACTAACGCCTACGCCATCCGGTATGCCGAGAAGTTCTGCAATATGTACAATAAAAACCGATACTTGTTCTCTTCCAAAGGCCAGCAATGGGTGGATGCCGTCAGAAAGTGTCTACAAGTTTCTTTGGTGCCGTTACTCCGTCCATGGCGATCGCCATCTTGCCAAGAGATACGCAGAGCTGCATTTGATTCCCATACTCCGTGTTATCTTCGCCCAGATAAAGGCGCTCCGTCGGTGTGCGATTTAGAGTGCTTAGAGTTCTTTAAGATCTTTTTCACCATAAAAGGATCATTTGTGAAACTGGACACCGCAGGCGAATCACTCAAAGGTGCATGGAATATCTTGAACCAGTGTGGCTTGAAGTGTACTTACAATTGGTTTAGACAAAGTGTTACGATCAGAATGGTCAAAATATATTTCAAATTGATAACCCAAAAGACAAAACGGCTATTCAAGAGATCTTCTGAGGATCCTCTACCAGAGGATGACAAGCAAAGCCGATTTGCAGAGGAGGTTGTAACGTACATATCCAACGCACTGAAGTGGAATCCAGAAGTAATGGACTGGTTTTCGTTTTCTAATACTAACTCATCTATCCTCTATGTTGCTTTGGCCGACAAGAAAGGGCTAGGAATAGTGCAAACCTCTACTCCTGCAGTCAACTTGAACAACACTATTGCAGGCCTGGCCACAGCCATCAAAGAAAGCCACATTCCTGTTCAAGTTAATGGATCTAATGTTTGGCTCAAGTCATTAGACTCCTGTTCTGACAAAACCTGCAGTCAGCCCAGGTCCCTGGCGATTTCTGAGAAGCCTCCAAAATTCCCAAGTAGTGGTGGAATGTTGGTGAAGAGTGGTTACTTTGTTGGTACCACCTTCCTGGTCAATTCTCTCATCCTTTGGTGGCCTAATAACCCATTCTAAGTTTTGTAATCGAAACTGGTAATGATATCCACTCATTTAACCAAACCAAGCAATTTTAAACCATTAAGAGATGAATATCCATCGTTTACTTTTTAGTTTTTTGAGATTTTCCTCATAAAGAGCTACTGCAGTTTGTAATCTTAAGAGTTTAGTACTATGAAGTGATAAAATAGCATCGTGTAGTTGTATGTTTAAAATTTCTTAATAAAGATTTTAAGTTTGCAATATTTTTAAAAGGTTTGCGAAGTCGTTTTTGAGTTAAAAAAGGATTAGTTTGGAATGTGGCAACGGGGTAGCGAATATAGTTATAATACGCCAAGAAACAGTGTAGTTCCCAATATAGTTTAATATGTCATTAATTGAAATATCGTAGACTTTTTTTGTTTTTTTGTTTTTGATATTTTATTTTAAACATGACAGAGTAGGAATAAATAGTAGAATGAGAAAAATAATTTACAATTAGGAAATATCGTAAACTATTAAAATCTCTTCTCTTTGATTTCTTTGAACAATCAAGTCCTGATGTTCTGAAGATGATGAAAACCTACAATTGAAAGAAAACAGAAGATTGTTAAACCAAAATTGTTAAGCAGCATAGTGGCAGGCATACTGTTATGTACGTATCGTACATCATGTATGCTGTGGTTTGTTATGTAGAGGCGTGAAAAAGGCTTTTGAAAACAGCTAAATAAATGACGCAGTCTCGACACCCTGAGAAGACTATGCTTGACTATGCTTGATTTCAATGTAAAATTTATTTTCAGCGGCGCGATGGAATCCGGGAAACTCGTGAAACACGACGTTATCTTTAGTAGTAACTATTTATTTTCGTATTTATTTATTTACTGACAGAATTTACACAGTCCGTCCAAATCAGCGAGTGCTGGTTAAAATGGACACAAGTTTTACAAGTAATTAAACAATAGAGCATTGGAACATTGGCTAAAGCACACCAAAATGGCCAATTTTTGATCAAAAACCATGGAATATAGCACACCAAAATGGCCAAAAATCACCAATTTTTGATCAAAAAGCATGGTCTATAGACGACCAAAATGGCCAAAAATGACCGATTTTTGATCAAAAAGAATGGTCTATAGCCCACCAAAATGACAAAAAATGACCGATTTTTGATCAAAAACCATGGTCTAGGGCCCACCAAAATGGCCAAATATGACCCATTTTTGATCAAAAAGCATGGGCTATAGCTCACCAAAATGGCCAAAAATGACCCATTTTTCATCAAAAACCATGTTCTATAGCTCACCAGAACGGCCAAAAATGACCGAATTTTGATGAAAAACAATAGACTATAGCTCACCAAAATGGGCAAAACTGACCCATTTTTGATCAAAAACATGGGCTATAGCTCACCAAAATGGCCAAAAATGACCCATTTTTNAAAACAGCTAAATAAATGACGCAGTCTCGACACCCTGAGAAGACTATGCTTGACTATGCTTGATTTCAATGTAAAATTTATTTTCAGCGGCGCGATGGAATCCGGGAAACTCGTGAAACACGACGTTATCTTTAGTAGTAACTATTTATTTTCGTATTTATTTATTTACTGACAGAATTTACACAGTCCGTCCAAATCAGCGAGTGCTGGTTAAAATGGACACAAGTTTTACAAGTAATTAAACAATAGAGCATTGGAACATTGGCTAAAGCACACCAAAATGGCCAATTTTTGATCAAAAACCATGGAATATAGCACACCAAAATGGCCAAAAATCACCAATTTTTGATCAAAAAGCATGGTCTATAGACGACCAAAATGGCCAAAAATGACCGATTTTTGATCAAAAAGAATGGTCTATAGCCCACCAAAATGACAAAAAATGACCGATTTTTGATCAAAAACCATGGTCTAGGGCCCACCAAAATGGCCAAATATGACCCATTTTTGATCAAAAAGCATGGGCTATAGCTCACCAAAATGGCCAAAAATGTCCGATTGTTGATCAAAAAGCATGGCCAAAAATGACCGATATTTGATCAAAAAGCATGTGCTATAGCCCACCAAAATGCCAAAAATGACCGAATTCTGATGAAAAACTATGGACTATAGCTCACCAAAATGGGCAAAATTGACCGATTTTTGATCAAAAAGCCGATGAAAATGACCGATGGCTCTCAGGGAGGAGAAGGAAAACTTGTTGACCATTTACACGGACAATTTTTCCTTGTCAAGGAACGACTTGCAAAGAAAAAAATTGCTCGTGTAAACGGCGCTTAAGTAATGCCCCGAGTAAGAACTAGGGAAGCAAACGGCACAGGAATGCAAGAAGGTGCTAATTGCGCATTGTATAATCCATCCATCCCATTGGTTAAAACATGAAAATCTGCTATAATTTCACAATTTAGCGAATTTTCTAATACTTTATTTAATGTCTGTTTTCGCTTTCATGAAAGCTTTCTTTAGCTTTAATATTAAAGGCAATTCTACATGGGGAACATTGCAAATTAGAAGCATCTTTTGGCTATTATTTTGAGTGCTTATGATTGGATAAGAGCTTTTAATACAAAAGAAACTTTGTTTCAAAATAGAGTTTATCCACATTTTATTTCAAAAATGTGTTACCCACAGATGGATACATAATCAGTGTGAAAACCAAGACATTCGTACATGGGGAACTTGCTATGCCGCAGAACAATAGAGAGTTCCCTAGTTCTTTAGCGCATAGTTATTTTTAAATAAAATACGCCAAAAAACAGTGTATTGTTCCCATTCAAGTTTAATATGTCATTAATCGCCTTAAAATATCGTAAACTATTAATCTCGTCTCTCGATTTCTTTTAACCATCAAGTCCTAATGTAACGACCATGATGAAAACCTACAATTGAAAGAAAACAGAAGATTGTTAAACCAAAATATTCTTGTCATGGATGCTACGCTCTGCTGATTCTAATTAATTCTCGTCAGTTTAATGCATGCTATGATTTGATACCACACGTGTTCATCAGTGAAGATGCAGAAAAACCACGCAAAACAGGCAGGTTTTGGACACAGCGCGAGGTGAACCCTGGGTTTTATTTTTGACCAGTCATATTGCGACATTTCGGATTTGGCAGGGATCTCAAAGCCAGAGATAGCGACTTCGAGTGACTTGAATGTGTGTACAAAAAAATTTTTTCGTCGTTTTTTGATTTTGAAGCGTTGTTTTACAGAGAACACTAGACATCGGCAGTATATTCTATATTCTGTAATATTTTTTCCATATCCTTTTTGAGATTTTGTTGTCTTTTTTTACAAGTGACAATTTTTGCAATTGAACCGCGTACCGATTGGCTCAGTTGGTTGGGTTGCACTCTAACCCTGTAGTGGACGTAAAAGAACCACTGAGGACGCAGGTACGACCATCCTCAGTGTCTGTACTTCGGCCACTCATGTTTATTAACTACACGGCTGTTTATTTAAAGCGACTTCAATAGCAGTCTGTCCAAGTCCCTCACTAAATATGCAATCCTGAGAATTCAGATCATTGGTCTTTGAAATCTGGAAAGGCGACTACACGTATCTATCTATMTATAAATTTCAAACGTTTGTCATAGATTGAAAATAAAATACCCGTGAAAATAGCTTTTAAAAGTCAATCTTTTCATGAGGTTTCAGTATACTAGCTAACTGTTTTTCGCAATATCGCTTGTAAGTGATCATAACTTTTTTGATTTTTTTACATGTTTTCAGGATACTTTTCAAGTTTTTCTCAGATTTTGGCTTTTTTGCGACTTTCAGTCAACTTCACGGAGCTCTTCATAGCTCAAAGGCTAGGTTCAAATGAACTGAGCCATTTTATATTTTTGACCCAAGATCCTTTTCCCGCTGTGTCCAACAGTGCATGCGCAAAAAAATCATTATTTTCAATTACATGCAAAATTGCATTCTAAAAGAAAAAAAAAATCAAATACAATAGTTACTGAAATAACTTATCAGCAGACTTACTATCAATGTGGCAGTGTTTTTCCGCTCCTACCATCCTTGTGGAAATGGTGGGAACCTCGGAGGAGGCCTGCGCGGAGGTTGTACTGTCACTAAATAAAAATGTTAACAGTGAATATCAAATGTGGTCTCATAGTATGGGTCTCTCCTGGTAATACTCTTGGTCTTCCTCCTGGCATGGACAAGGAATACTGTGGCCCCGCCCCCAAAAAACTTATGTTGCTTGTGTGATAACGTCAAGATTGCATTACATTGTAATCCATATTTGGCAAATGACGTGGGAGATCACGTTTGTAACGCGCAAGTAAACCAGTTCTGCTCTAGATTCGATCGTGTTTTAGTTTTTACTTGATCTGTGTGTTATGTTTCTCTAACAACTTATATCAATATAAATTTACAGTAAACAAACACTTGATTTTATTTTCTATTTACCTCTTTCAGGGCCCATAACTATTTCACAACTTGCACCGCAAATGGACAGGATCTTAGGGTCTCCAAGACAAGAACATTTGTAATTGATGCCTGGTTTATTCTCTTCCCAATAGAAGAAAGATTTGCCAACTTGAGATATTCCTCGGTAATCTTCACAAGCTATAAAAGCAAATAAATTCTTTAACACATCCGTTACTTATTAACATAGTGATAGACATAATGACAGTGACTATTATAGATCAAGAAAAGTTGACATGATAGCAACGTGAAAAAAGGAAATGGAGAATAGAGTGCAGAAAGCAGTCCAAACAGACAAACCAGACGATTTTACAATTCGCTAGTATTGTACATTTCCGTGAGAATAGAGGTGCTATAGGTACGTTGTCTTCCACGCTCTGTCAAAAAATTAGCCGAGGAGCGTTGTTACTTATCTCCAATCCTACACTTCCCAGCCGCAATTTTAATTCCTACTCTACTATCATACATGTCCGAGGAAATATACCAATATCTTTCAGAGATATATCCTGTGTATATACTTACAGTAATAAAATAAAAACAATAAGTCCTTGGGTTGGCAACTACTTATGAGCACAAACATTCCCACGAGATTAACAGCAATGAATGTTAAAGTAAGGTTACTATATCCCTCGTAACTCACCACAAACCTCCCAACCGCACTTTCCTTCAACCTTTTTTGCACAGGTTGGTTTTGGGCAATAATATTCAGTGATATCTGATGTCCCATAAGATCGTTTGTCAGTGTTGCAGCTGCGCACTTCTTTGCACGTATATGGCCCAGATTTACTCATCGACAGTTGGCAGTTGCTGGCTGTGCAGTTAATGAACAAGAATGAAGAGAAATTAAGAAATCATGAACTATCCTATGTTGAAAATAGTCTTATATTTTGCGAAACATTTTTTTCTAGCATGTCCTAGAAAGAGGCCAAGTGCCCAACCCTTAGCAAAGTATTACTTACAGTCGTCTGATCGTTTGCTTTCCGCGCCTCCCTAAATAAATAAATTAAATTAATATTTCAGTAGAGATGAAAAGAGTTATTATTTGGATATTAGAATTTATTAGTAAATTAATCATACCAATGTATTTACGTCAAGCAAAGGATAATCATATCACTCGCCCACCTGTTGTAACGATGAGCTTGATAACAAGTCAGACAAGAGAAAAACTCTAGCCCTAACTCTATGAACAATTTTGATTTGAGCAAGCGGACTTAAGCGGAACTTTTAAAATTACTGATTATCGCTTTTCAAAGAATCTCTACTTTCACATATTCAATAAGAAATAAATTACTGGAAACCAACAAATGTTTATATACAATATTAGGAAGGTCATTTAGTTCGTAAACGTAGATAGATTGATTTTCTTTACAAAGATAGTCGACATTATTTATTTATAATTTCGTATTTGTTCGATGATATTTTAGCCAATTACATTCTAAATTGTATTTATATAGTTTTTAGAGAATAATAGAGTGAATGCTGAGTTTTGTGTAAGCAACTAATCATGATCACAAAATAGCACGTTATATGGAACGGTTCATGTAATCTTTCTAGTTTTAACGCCCAATAAAAGAAAATTAAAATGAAGCACAGCTGATTAAAATGAATCGAGGCTAAACCCGAGATATTGTGTTCAGAAGATCGCGACAAACTCTTTTGACGACATGGAGATCGTGCCAAGAATAAAAGAAAACATGTGGAAACAAAACATGAAGAACAAGAAGAACAAGAAGAACAAGAAGAACAAGAAGAACAAGAAGAACAAGAAGAACAAGAAGAACAAGAAGAACAAGAAGAACAAGAAGAACATGACGAAGAAGAACAAGACGAAGAAGAACAAGACGAAGGAAGGACAAGAAGATAAAGAAGAAGATGAAGAAATATATAAAGAAGTGAGAAGACTAACCTGGTTGACGCAAAAGAAAGTCATGAACACAATTGATAGTATCATTGCGGTAGAATTCATCGTACAGACTCGTCGCGTTTGTTATTTCTTAATTGGACAACAATGCTTTTATATATATACACCTTGGTAAGCAAGATAAGCGCTTGTAAACTGCTTGTCAGTTTGTTTAAACGATAAATAAGTGATTAAAATCCAAACAGCTTTATTACCGAAAATTAAATTACTGTGTATCTGATGTTTCTGAGTCATGATCATCGTTGACTTGTTCGGTGAGCAGAAAAAAATAACTTTGATAAAAGAAAGATACTTTATGGATTAACGCAGAAAGCAATTTAGATGATTTATTAAATCCTGAAAGGCAATTGGTCTACTACTAATGATGACAAATTCAGTTACAGGGACGAGAAATCTCATTGCCAATCAAGTTTTTGCTATGAAAAAAGACACAGTTATTTCAAAATGAGATTTGAACTATAGTATCTAATGTTTCGAAAATCACCGAGCTAATCTTGTTCTAATCAATAGTTTCATGAAGTATTTGCTTTTAATTTGTAACTGTCTTGACCGACACTAAATGGAAACGAGTTTGAAGAGTCTTTTATGTCTCGAACAAATACATCAGTATCTTGACAATTTGTTATTTTATCGATATTCGTTTGGTTTCGACGTGATATATCTCGTTCATTTTATTTGGTCACAATCAAGAACATCATCATTTAGCCAAATCAATGTTAGTCTAGGAGATAACAATCTAAGTTAATTGTTATAATTCTAATGTTATTTTATTACACTTTTTATTAAATCTTCCTAGAGATTTTATAGAAATTTCGAAATGGCTCTAAATAGTTGCTTGATTGTTCGTCAACGCACGAGAGAAATCGATTAATCTACAGGAGTATGAAATACGAGTTTGATAGGACAGGAATACACGAAAGAATTAATGGGACTTTAAATTATACCCTGATAGTGTGGACGTAGGATTGTAGCAGTTGAAGGTGACGTACTCTTGTGCACTTCCTCCTSTTCTGTTTGCTCTCTGAGTCAGCTTTTCTGCTGCCTTCTACCAATTAGCTAAGCTATTAGCAGACGACAACAGGCTGTCTTTTCTCCCACGAGGCTGCAGAGCTCATCAGGTCTTCAGAAATAATAAAGACTTCATTTGAATGATTTTAAGTTAAAATTTTAATGGCAAGATATAGTTAACAATATATTCCATTATTCTGTGCGTCTAATAGATATGCAAATAAATGACGTCAAAGTGCGATGGGAACAAACAACAACGAAAGGAAGTCGAGAGGCACGGAAGAATGGAATCTATTTGTTTGATATAATATTGCCGCGTTCTTATCATTTGGAGATTTCTATTCTACTCTCACTGGCCTAATCAGCAGATTCACACAAAGATCAGCATTGGCTCAAAATCTCACGGAGCCTGATATGTTAAACTATTCTTATATACCTCACTTGATATCGAGCTGATCATTACAGCAGGCGGGCAAGTGAATTATAATAAAGAACAGGACCATAATAAAAGTCACTGAATAGCGCTAGAAAAAAAAATCATAAAGATTAAAACTTCTCGTCAGGTCGTTTTCTTTTTTTCCCGACACAATGGCCTTGAAAATGTAGTTCTTAAAGGTAGATTCTATGTCTTGTATGACACTGATTTTTAAGAGGTATAAGAAATATAGTATAACGTCATAAGTCACTTTTTTATATTCCCTCTGAATATTCCATGCAAATTGTGGGCATCGCAGCACTTTTTTCAACGTGCGTTTGGGGAAGGCTGCAATATTTCGGACGAGCTTTATAGGAAAGGTCACAACTAAAGAAAATTAATAAGAATAAGATCTAAGGATATTAAGTTTTTTGTCTCTGGCTTAKATACCAGACTACTTTAATCAGGCGGTTCGGTCTTCTATCTTAGACAAATCAGCGAAAAACGGTTACAAAAACCGTTGTTATTGATACGAGTGTAGATCTAATATTTTAACTTTTCATAAATTTACTGAATTAAAGAACAAGTTCTGTTACGTTTCTTGTCAAAAATATTTTATAGAAAAACAAATGTATTAGAACAACAGTATCTAAGCTGGAAAATACAAATAAAAAAATCATAAACCTGACTATCTCTGGGTTTTTTAGGTAGCTGATCGGTGTCAAATTCCACAGTAAACGAAACGTGCTCAATGCTCATAGCCTTTCAATTCCTGACAGAAAATGAGTCAGTAAAGACGGGACTTGATGACCAATTTAGATTTAAACTGAGCTGTTATCTTAGATTGGATACCCCCTCCATGCTACATTTACAGAACCTAATTGGGTTTTCGATTATATGTGGTTTTGGAGACCATTGTGAGGTATTTCTCTCATTTGTTCTCCTGAATAAGCTTTTGGAATGCTTCTGATTCCACTTCCGAACTGTGAATAAGTAAAACTACAGCATCTGGTTATCATAGTTTTGATGTTATCACGATAAATGCCATTGAAGATGAGGTATATGAAGAAGTTATAAATAAGGATCAAGCTTAAAATAAAAATTGACATGTTTTCCAAGTCCATATGTACTGTCTTTGAAAAGTGACTTAATTTCCCTTGACGATCTAAAACAAGAAAGATGAACCGAAATCCAAAGGAAAAATAAAGAGCAGCGACAACTGCCAAACACATCTTTAACACTTTCTTGTTTTGTTGTTTTCTTTTTCTTTTTGTCAAGTTATCTTGTATTCCAGGTACCTTGTGCTGATAAAGTTTATATACGGTTAAAGCATAAGCAACAGTTATCAGGAGTGGTGGCAGGCCAATTGTCAATGCAATGTTGCTGTAGCTAGAGATAATGAAAGTCGACATGATCTTTGTAGGTACATCACAATACAAATTGTCACCTTGCCCTACTGTGCTGAAAAAATAAAATGAAGAGCCACACTGTAGACTTGAGAAAATCCAAATCGCTGCAATGATGCACTTTGTCTTACTGTGGAAAGGTCTCTTCATTGGATGAACAACGGCGAAGTATCGATGAATGGCAATCAAGACACAGCTATAAAGGGAAACAGAAATGGAAAGATTTCTTTTAAATACATAAAGCTTACAAAGTGCATTACCAATGTCTCCGCCAATCATCCATTTGTCTTCAAAGTTTATCCTAACTATTTGAGTTGGAAAGACAAACAGAGCACCAAGGAGATCACTGGCCGCCATGTTGGCTATCAAGTAATTGGTGATAGTTATCAATCGATTGTCCTTGTAGATTATCCATACGATGAGTGGGTTTACAATTATTGAAACCAAAAATGTAATTGAAAAAACGAACATCCAGGGTAGCTTATTTCCATAGACGGTAGTCACATTAAATGAACTGGAACTGTCATTATTGGCCATACGGTATGTTAATGTTTCTTTGATGCTGAATATCAATATTCAATCATATCCTTAGCTTCGTCGCTTGTGTTGGCCTAAGCACAATTTATGCTATACTAGTAGTTTTTTTTTAGATCTACAGTTAAAAGAAGAACAGTTTTGCGAATTGGCATCTGGTTATACGGGAACAAATAATCATCATCACGCTATCAAGCGAAACGGTACTTTATACTTTTGAATGACAGGTTGTTCCTGTGATTATATATTCTTTTGACTAATATATGTAATTAGACTGCATCGACTGCAACTTTCGATTTTCAAAACACTTCTGATAGCTTCTTATTTTGTATGTATGACTTTGTGCAGAGTTAGCCTGTTTACATGAAATGGGGCTCGACAAGGCGAGTAAAACTCTTTTTAAAGACTTCCCATTGGCACCCTATCTCATGTGAACATTGATCAACAAGCACACTACGTCAAAAATGAAATGAAGGCAATCTATAAATATCTCTACAAATATGCAAATACAGTGAATGGAAAATCGTTTAGTAGGTAATTTTAAATATCCCAAACAAATTGCCGTTTATCTATAACATCACGATAAAAATAAGTAGCTATTGAATGGTTATGCAATATGGGCATAATGACGATTAAGGAAGCATTCATTATGCTCTGGCAAAAGAGAGAATAAGGGTTGAGTCATCTCCTTTGTCCTTTCATAATTAACAATTTTTAAAAACGATTATAAATATTAGGAAAACAGAGATTTGAAATTGGGGTGATATTAAAGGGTATCAGCACCCTTAAACTGCTTCACAAGATGTCCCTTTGTTTGTTTGTTTGTTGTTGTGTTGTTGAGTTTTGACTTTTGAAGGCAGCTTTCTAGTGAAAGCTAACCCATGGTATTGTTGCAATGAAGTGTATGGCTTGTTTGTTTGACCTTTTTGAGGTTTAATGATCAAAAAATTGCTCCATTTAATCGATAGCATATTGATATGATATACTGTCAAGTATATTAGTTTGCGTGCAATAGTTGAGTGTCATCAAAAATACCGAATTGAAGTGATTTCTATGGGTTAAATAAATTTTTAAKATTCATAAAAACGAGTAAAGGCCTTTCTTATCAATATTTCATCCCAAGGTTACATTCCCAGCTGTCTGGGAATAGTGAATAGTAAACAACTCCAAGTATTTACCTCTTACAACGCAGTTTTTTACTCCTGATATGACGACGTTACATCGTGATAGTGGCATCACGAGTATAACTAGTTTTTGAGTGTCAAAATATTGTCTGCACCCAATAAAATTACCTTCCTTTCTGACAAGACCCTTATTTCGATCTTTATTCCATTTCTCTTGTGCTATTAATTGAAATTACAGTTGTTCCGACGATTTTCACAAAAAATTGACCCCTTGACGTTTTATTTCTTGGACTAAACGACAGAGCTGCCTGGAGAAGGGTTTGTCGTACGACTTCCATATATGGTTGTGCATGTACGGCGCTGATGTGCACATAGAAGGCGCTTATGTGCACATAGAAGGCGCTGATGTCCCAATTACGTGGAGAAGAACTTAGAAAATTTCAAAGACCTAAACTTAAACTGAAAAGAAATTTTTGAAGAACGAGTACTAAGATTCGAACCAGCGCTATGTATTGCCTAACCCGATATTATCCCTAAACCTAACCTAACCATTAAGCCACGAGACCAATTCGCTTGAGTGAACCTGAATTTTTGTGATATTTATGCAACGGCATGCATGAATAACCACGCATATGTACATAAGATTGAATATATAATTAATGAACCATCTATAGGGACATGAGAGCCTTCTATAGGTACATTAGAGCCATCCATATGGACATCCATATATGGAAGTCGTACGACAACCTCTACTCGCTGCCTGGCACTCCGTAAGACAATACTTTAAATTTCTGAGTACTTCTACTTCGGTGTGAGAACAGGTCCGAACTACATGTACCTTTACACTACCCATCAACGTCAAATAAGCGATGCATCCAAAATGTTTCCAGTCATAAATAAAAATGACCAAAAATAGGGAACATCCCCTTTGCCGTTATGCTTGTTTCGACAATTAAAATCAAATTTGAATTAGGTTCGAACCGCCCAAATTTTAAGTGAGACGCAATGTAGAAACGAAAACTACGCCAAAGTGTCCTATAAGCCTAGACTAATATGTAGAAAGTAGTTATTAAAAAAGATTAATAAAAAACAATACAAAAGAACTAGAAGATAATGATGACTTTTATGTAAATATAGCCAATACAATCCTTTTCGTTATTCTACACCTGCCTCCAGCTCTTCTATCACTAACATTATCAATCATTGTTCATAAGTTTATCTCAAAATTGGAAATATATGGGCAGCCAATCAAAACTATAGAACTGTAGTTAACTCAGGTACGTGCATATAATGAGATTTTAAAAATACATCGGCCATTTCTTTTTAGGTAGTTGTCGTGGGCTTTTCTTAAAAGATGCAATTGAAGAGTGTCATTGCTGTAGTTATTTTATCTTTGGTTTCAAGAACAAAAAGTGCTGTTAATTGGACGAATAATGGGACGAATTACTACGGAGGTAAACTGACTCTATATTTTAAAAAATAGATAAAAGATCTCGGCACAATCAAGAATTCTGTAAGAGTAATTTTCTTTTAAGAGTAAGTTTCTGCTTTAATCTTGAATTCAAATCAAAAATCGCATGGTTTGTTGGTGCTGAGAAAACACTTTCGATTTTACTAGAAACTGGCAAAAACTGAAGATGAGATATGTTTTTTATACACACAAGCTCGATATATGGAGCACGTCTAATGGTAAAGTTGGCGTGTCCAAATTAGTTCAAACATTCCCGCATTGAATATGGCCAAACTAACTGAATCACAAGACCTTATTCTAAAGATGACTACTACTAACAAGACCACATTCTTCAATGATCAAATTAGTTTTTAGAATAGATAAAAGTCGCATTAAAATGTTATTGATGTTTCGGACGTTATTATTAATAGAAGAAAGACAACAGAGGGTGAACTTAATATATTGAAAGTCAAATCAAACAGTCATGAGTTATTAAAGCGTACAATATTGATCTTCGTAGCATTAATCATGTTGTTATTCAGTTTCTTTAATATCTCCGGAAATAAGAACCATGACGTGCAGAGCTCATTTTGAGCATTTGTCTCCCGCCGCTTCTGTTTTAATTTAAAATTAGGAGCGACTTTAGAATACCCCGTCACTCTGAAAGCTCTGCCACCGAGGTCCCCCGCGGTGCCGCAGTGCTCGCTATGACTTCTGGATATTTTTTTCTCTTAGAATTTTAAAGAACGAGAAAATTCGTACTAAACACTGATATAACATACCAATATTCCTTCAAATGTATTTCGTGGGTGTAGGTGGATTTTACGATTGAAGAGTACTTATGAATCAGCTTACTTAACTGCCTCGCTATTTTTGTCCCAAAAATCGTTTCAGGCACTACGTGACCGCGGACCGCGGTGGCAGTTAATTTTGATACTAAGAGGTTAACTTTAAATGGGATTCC